TCCTGTGGATGGACACCTGGTCTTTTTTCTCTTTTTAGCTGCTGTGAGCAAGACTGCTATGAACATTCTTTACAAGTCTGTTTGTGGACATATGTTTTCATTTCTCTGGGGTACATACTTGGGAATGGAGCGCTGGGTCATAGGGCAGGTGTATGTTTAGCTTTGCAAGCACCCTCCAGACGCTTCTCCACGTGGTGTACGTTCACAGCCCCGCATCGTGGGAGAGGCGCCGGGCCGCGCCGGGCCGCGGAGCGCGAGCTGCCGGCTCGTCTGGCTCGGGCTCCCTCGCCGTGAACCGGTGTTTTCCGTGCTGCTGCCCGTCTGGGCACCCTCCGGGGGCCGAGGGTCTGTTTCACAAGGTTATGGCTGGGCTGCTTACTCTCAAGCTCCAGGGGTTCCTCTGTCCTGGAGACCAACCTGTCAGGTGCGTGTTTTGCAAATGATTTTCTCTCAGACTGTGACTCCCCCCTTATTTTCTTAACAACTGTGTTCAGGATCAGAAGTTTAAATTTTGAAGAGTCTCGTTTGTTTTTTCCCATATACGTCTCACACGTCCCGTGTAAGAGAAGCACCCAGCCCCGGGTCAGGAAGGCGCGGTCCCGCTCCTCTGAGCGCCGGGGTCTGGGCCTCTGTGTTCAGATTGCTGGTCCGTCTCGAGTCGCCGTTTGTCTGTGGTGACGAGCACGTCAGGGCTCTTCCCCCCCGATGTGGGTGTCCAGCTGTCCCAGCGCCGTTTCTTATAGAAAGACTTCTTTCCTCATCCAGCTGTCCTGGTGTCTTTGCGAGCAGTCAGGTGGCCCTCCAGGTGCGGCTCTGCTTGTTGGGCCGCCTCGGTACCAGGCTGTCTGTGATTGCTGCGTCTGTGAAGCACGTCTTGGGATCAGATGAGGGAAGTCCTGCACCGCGCCGGGCAGTCCGGGCCCGTATTGCTCCCGTGTGAATCTTCACGGGCCTGTCAGTTTCTTAAAAGCCCCCCCCGAACCGGGGGGGCCGTGAGTGGGCTTCCTCTGGCCTGCAGGTCAGTCGGGGGACTGCCGTTCTAGCGCTGCTGGCACGTCGTCCGGGGACGTGGCGTCCCCTCCGTTTGTGTGGATCTTCCTCAGGCTCTGTCAGCGCGCTTGTGGGGTTTTCGGAGTGAAGCGCTTAGGTTTGTTTCGTGTGGACAAGCTTGTTGCTGTGACTGGTTTGTGCTTTTCAGAGCTTTTGTGCATGGAATTCTCAAAAGCTTATTTTTCCAGTTTTCTGCTAGTAGAGAAAAATATGTTTTATTGCCATTAATTTTGTGTCCTCTGACCTTGCTGCAATCACGCATCAGCTCTGTAGCTCCCTTAGAGCTCTGTGCGTCATAATCCTGCCGCTTACAACACAGGCTCACTCTCGCTTTCCAAATCGTGTTTCATGTCGTCCTCTCACCCTGCGGCCATGGCTCGAGCCTCTGCAGTGTTGAGAGAAGAAATGAGAATGGCTTGCAGTCTGCAGGGGCAGGGGCTGGCCGTGGCCAGTGTCCTGTGTGCCCACCTTGTTCAGGGCCAGCAGCCCCGGCCGCGGGGGTGCAAAGGCTGCTGGCCCTTGGGCGCGCTCCGTTTCAGACCCTGTTTATAAGGAACGTCCTTCAGTTTTTACAGTGGAGCAAGGGGGCATGACCGGGATGGACGGGCCTTCAGGGAGCTGGCGCAGCCCTCCTGGGCACCACGTGGAAACACGAGTTTCAGCCCAAAAAGACTCCCCGCATTCAGCGTCCACAGGCAGCGAAGTTGTTTTCGGAGGCCCAGTTTGCACAGGAGTGCTTTCGTGATCGCACCTCGGGCTGGTTTTGAATGAAAACTCTTAGGATGAAGGCGTGTCAGCCTGACTGCCAGCTGCCGGCTTGTTGCTCTCCAACGCGGGTTGCGGGGAGGGCTTTTTTGTGCCCGTCTGCTCACGAGCAGGCAGGCCGTCGCAATCCACTCTTGGGGACAGAGGGGGGCTCACCTGGAGAGAGGTCACATTTACGGTCTAGGTGCAGAGCTGTGACAGGGCCAGCGACAGGTGGAGAGGCCCCATAGCTACCGGCCTGGAGGACACAACTGCCTCTGGCCAGAAAGGGCAGGGCGGGCTCTGTGGGCTCGGCCGGAAGAGGGGGAGTGGGCAGGCGGGGCCTGGGTCGGGGGACGCGGCCAGACTGTCCTTGCCTTGCTAAGAGCTGCCAGCGCAGAGCCCCGGGCACGGAGCTGGCACCCCTTTCAGTTGGCTGTTCTCGCCGCGGTGGGCACCGCCTCCCAGGCCAGGGTGAAAGGGCACCCAAGTCTGAGGACAGGCGCGCTCTGATGGCACGTGAGCAGTACGTTACAGGCTTGCTCAAGGAGCACAGAGCAAGCTAGTGGCCCCGGTTACTGCCAGGCTCGGTGCCAGCCTTCTGCTCAGGAGCAGCCCCTGGCTGGTTGGGTGAGGCTGAGCTCCCAGCATCCTCTTCTCACTCCTGTGTACGCACGGCTCAGCCCCTTCTCGCCCTGCACCGTCACTGCGTGTGTTGGAGGCGCACAGGGCGCCGTGTTTATGGTAGGTTCCCCCTGTTCTTGGCTCCGTTGTGTTTTGTCCTGTGTGGATAGTGGGTTCCAGCAGGTTCTTTTGGCACTTCTTGTGGTCACTCTGGCTTTTCCCTTCAAAGTGGCCACTGCAGTGGTGCCGGCACGCATCTCTGTTGTGCTGTCCTCGCGTGCCTTGGATACACCCTTGGTGGGTGCGTGTCGTCCACCTAAAGCGCTCCGCCTTTCATGGGCCGACCCTTCTGTAGGCATTTCACCTGTCCTTCTGGGGGCCGGGCCTCTGCTTTGCTCTCTGTGGTCCCGTGCGGCTTTGGTGCTGGGTCTGCCAGCCGGGGAGGGAGCTCCCTGGTTCCGTCCCCACCTGAGCCCTCGCCCTGGCCGTCTTGGCCCTCCTGGGGGCCTGGGCTCTGGGGAGAGGCGCCCGGCTCTATGAGGTGCTGAGTGAGTTGTTTATCCTGGCAGGAGGGGAAGTGCTGATTGTCGCCTTGTAAACCCTAACAGCCTGGCCTGAGGGGGGAGCGTGGGGCCCAGCGCGTGAGGCCCCGAGAGGCAGGCAGTCTTTGTCCCCAGAGCTCGGCTCTTTGGGGCGAGGCAACCTGCCCTCGCTGCACAGGCCCCTGGGCTCTCCCAGTCTGGGCTGGCTGGGCAGGGTGTCCCTGTCTTGGCTGGTCTGAGCGGGCCTTTCAGGGCTTCTCTGGGCAGAAGGTGGGGGCAGCGCTGTCCAGGACTGCGAGCTGGAGAGGAGCTGCTCCGGCCGGCCTTCCCGAAGCCTGCTGGGCGCCCCAGGTGGTTTCAGTTTCCACACGTGATTATTGTTACTGTTTTGCACATGCCTGTTAGGGTCGCCACGCACCCTTTTCATGTACACATCCTGGGCTCCGGGGGGCGGTGCTGAGCACACACACGTTCTTTGTTAATCGGTGGGCTCTCCTTAGTCTGTCCTCACCCAGGGGTCCCGGTTCAGGTCCCCGTCCTCCAGGCCTGCCCTGTGCCTGGTGTCATCTCTTTCTCCTGGGTGCCTGCCATCCCCTACTGTCCTTGCCTGAGGGGCTGCCGGGCGGCCCCAACGCCAGAAGTTCAGGTGGTGGACTCGGCCCCGTGGGGGGGGGGGAGGGGGAGGGGAGGGCCCAGCGGACGCTGCTCTGGCGGCGTCTCCCGGCCTCTGCGGCCGCCGGCCGCTCGTCGGGAAGGTGCTTGTAGTTCCCTTT